GCATCAATGAACACAACATAGAAATGGGAGTTCTTCAAAAAGACTGTATATGAACACACTGCAAAATATATTCCCATGGGCAACAAGTTTAAAAGGCTAAAGATCAAACCTATGTGGCTTACGACCAAAGTTAAAAAAAGCTACAGATAATAAGAAAAGAGCTTTTATTAAATATACAAATGAAGGAACGCTATCATCATTTAAACATTACAAAGAATATAACAGAATATGCAAAAAGGAAATAAAGGCCACAAAAAATTGAAAACGAATGACAGATTGCAAAAGATAGCAGGACCAACCCCCAAAAATTCTTTAAATATATTAATAGTAAAAAGGTCCGGGCCGAGCATGTAGGCCCTTTACAAAATAATCTAGAGTGGATGACTGGAGATAAAGAGAAGGCAATTTTATTAAATACCTTCTTCAGCTCTGTGTATGCAAAGGAGCATGGGGGAGCTCTTGTCTATAATGGGCATGGTATTGACACAGCTCCAGATGATCCACATTGGCTCTCAATTGATATGATCCAAAAATATTTAGACAGAATAAAGGTGAATAAAGACCTGGACCAGATAGCATACACCCACAGGTCCTTAAAGAATTGAGCTCTGTCATTTCAAAGCCATTGTTTAAATTTTTAGGGACTCTTTAATGACTGGCATAGTACCACTGGATTGGCGTAATGCCAATGTGGTGCCAATGTTTAAAAAGGGGTCAAAGTCTTTACCAAGTAATTATAGACCTGTTAGTTTAACTTCTATGTTAGTTTAACTTCTATAGTTGGGAAGATATGGATTCATGAAAGACAGAAGTTTTCAAACAAATCTGATTTCTTATTTTATGAGGCGGTGAGAAAAACCTTGTGTCGCAAAAACTGCGCAAAACACAGTGAAGTACGCAGTTCAACCATTTTGTAGGCACCTCCATCTTGGTACGGAGTATATATTGGGTCTCTCATTTCTCATTCTCCTTCCCCCTCCCTTCCTGAAAGGCACAGTGACAGATGTGTGTGTGGGAAAAGTGTCACTGGCAGGTAGAGCAGCAGGGGGCCCAGAGCTACAAAGCCCCCCCAGAGAGACAGAGCCTAGCTGTCCATGAACATGTGTAATTTCTCACTTCGTAACCGAGATAAGGCAGCTTTTCCCAGGAATTGAAAGAGATTGTAACCTCATAAAACCTAGCAGCATAGGTGACAGAATTGAATGAACATTCCTCAAGTCAGTTTGTCCCCTATGTTTCATATCATGGATTATGACAGATATTGGTTCTAATTCAGAGTCCGCCCGACGATCCCTCTCTAAACAGAGTATTGGTCAGTTACTCAGAGCCACCCCCCTGCTGGGGGCCTTAAAACACAGGCTAGCAGGCCTAAAAAGTTAAGTTGAAGACATCTCCCAATTGTAACATCAATATACCACCTGGGGAGACCCTTTGCTCTGAAACTTGGATCTGCTTATGGCTAAGGCTTAATTGGCAAGTAACCTAACCCTTTAACTTCCTCTCTGATATCTCTTTGCTGTGCTATGGTTCTTTGTATGTATATATATATATATATATATATATATCTTAGCTACATCTTTTTCTGTAAATATTTTATTGCACCTGTTTGACTCTTTTAGTAATAAATCTTTCTTTCTGAAAGTGTTAAACTGTTTCTAAAGCGCTTAATTGCAATTTACGAATTCCTGCCTCTAAAGAGACGCTACTGTGTTTGTTTAAATCTCTGCCCAATCAGCCTGCGGTGACCGTATTGGACAGACGACTTTTCTACCATTACAGTGTATATTTGATAAAGAGAGTTTCCCCTTTCTCTGTACAAAAAGGGGTGGTGGCAGTGTAAGGGTCAGTTGCGTAATTAACGTGACCCAGTAACAAGCACATCCAGGCTGCAGGCACAGATTGAAATCCATTAGCTGGAAAATCGCTGTGTAGGGTGCAGCTGGGTGTGGCATTGTTACCCACGTCACATCACGGTCTGGATCGGCTGGTCCTTCGGTCACAAGTTTGGTGAGAAGGTCTGGGGGCTGACGCCGCGATCGTGACATATTGGTGGCAGCGGTTGTGAGATTGTTGCATGTTGGTGGCGGCGATCTTGCGCCCGTGACACCTTGGACAGAGGGGTGGTGGTGGACGTGGTATACTTGGATTTTGCAAAAGCATTTGACAAAGTTCCCCACACATGGCTACTGTGTAAGCTAAAGTCTACAGGCTTGGAAATATCCGTATGTAAATGGATAGGAAACTGGCTAAAAGATCGTATTCAATGAGTAGTGGTTAATGATTCATAATCTAGGGTTGTTAGTAGTGTACCCCAAGGTTCAGTGTTGGGACCCTTACTTTTTAAGATATTTATAAATGATATAGGGTCTGGGATTATAAATACAATTTCAGTCTTTGCAGATGACATCAAGCTGTGCAGTTAAATAACGTCTGTACAGAATGTCTCCAACTTACAAGCTGACCTCAATGCACTGTTTAATAGGGCATTTATGTGGCAAATGAGGTTTAATGTTGATAAATGTAAGGTTATGCACTTGGGGGCTAAGAATATGCATGCGTTTTTATATATCCTAGGGGAGTACAAGTAGGGGGCAATCAATGGTCGAGAAGGATCCGGGAGTTCTGGTAGATCACAAGCTTAATAATGGCATGCAATGCCAAGCTGCGGTTTCTAACACAAGCAAAATCCTTTCTTGTATTATAAGAGGTATAGACTCCAGAGAGAGAAATATAATTTTACCCCGGTACAAATCATTAGTACAGACCTGTAGAAGGAGCCAGAGAGCTCCAAGTGTGTAGCCTGCCTGCACATACAGTTGCAAGAAAAAGTATGTGAACCCCTTGGGATTACGTGGAGTTTTGCATGAATTGGGCATAAAATGTGCTCTGAACGTCATCTAAGTCACAACAATAGAAGAACACAGTCTGCTGAACATAATTGTACACAAACATTAGATGTTGCCATGGTTTAATTGCACATAACAAGTAAACATTCACAGTGCAGGGAGGAAAAAGTATGTGAACCTTTGGACTTAATAACTGGTTGACCCTCCTTTGGCAGCAATAAATACCTCAACCAAATGTTTCCTGTAGTTGCAGATCAGACCTGCACAACGATCTGGAGTAATTTTGGACCACTCCTCTTTACAAAACTGTTTCAGTGTAGCAATATTCTTGGGATGTCTGGTGTGAATCGCTCTCTTAAGGTCATGCCACAGCATTTCAATCGGGTTGAGGTCAGGACTCTGACTGGGCCACTCCAGAAGGTGTATTCTGTGCTGTTGCAGCCATTGTTTTGTTGAAATACTTGTATGCTTTGGGTCATTGTCCTGTAGCATCACCCATCCTCTGCGGAGCTTCAGTTGGCGGACAGATGGTCGTACGTTTTCCTGCAAAATGTCTTGATAAACTCTGGAATTCATTTTCCCATCAATGACAACAATCCGTCCAGGCCCTGAGGCAGCAAAGCAGCCCAAAACCATGATGCTCCCTCCGCCATGTTTTACAGTGGGGATAAGGTTTTGAAGTTGGTGCGCTGTGCCTTTTTTTCTCCACACATAGTGTTGTGTGTTCTTCCCAAACAACTCAATCTTGGTTTCATCTGTCCACAGTATATTTTGCCAGTAGTGCTGTGGAACATCCAGGTGCTATTTTGCAAACTTCAAACGTGCTGCAATATTCTTTTTGGACAGCAATGGCTTCCTCCGTGGTGTCCTCCCATGTATTCCATTCTTGTTTAATGTTTTCCTTATTGTAGATGTGTCAACAAAAATGTTAGCATGTGCCAGAGATTTCTGTAGGTCTTTAGCTGACACTCTGGGATTCTTCTTTACCTCATGCAGCATTCTGCGCTGTGCTCTTGCAGTCATTTTTACAGGACGACCACTCCTAGGGAGAGTAGCAACAGTGCTAAACTTTCTCCATTTGTAGACAGTCTGTCTTACCATGGACACATGAACATCAAGGCTTTTGGAGATACTTCTGTAACCCTTTCCAGCTTCATGCAAGTCAATAATTCTTGATCGTAGGTCTTCTAAGAGCTCTTTTCTGTGAGGCATGGTTCACATCAGACAGTGCTTCTTGAAACCAGTAAACCCAAAACAGGTGTGTGTTTTTTAAGGGCAGGACAGCCTTCAGCAACACATCCAATATTATCACACTGATTTGAGTCAAGGTTGGCTCACTCCTGGCTCCAATTAGCTCTGGGAGAAGTCATTAAGCTAGGGCCTCACATACTTTTTCCTCCCTGCACTGTGAATTTTTACATGTTATGTGCAATTAAAACATGGCAACATCTAATGTTTGTGTAGTTTTATGTTCAGCAGACTGTGTTCTTCTATTGTTGTGACTTAGATGACGTTCAGAGCACATTTTATGCCCAATTCATGCAAAACTCCACGTAATCCCAAGGGGTTCACATACTTTTTCTTGCAACTGTAACTGGTCCTCGTCCAGTGACATCACTTCCGACCACAAATGTGTTCCAGGCTGGTTCCTTAACTTCCGGTTGGTGTTCCCATGCTGGGACTGTGGTGACGGCGCTCCTCACCATCCATGGAAGCAGGACTCTATCACTGGACTTTTGGGCTGCACTGAACTTGTACAATACTGATGACAAGCGATCACTCTTCTACTCTCTTGTGAGTGTTACTTACCTTTGCTGAATAAACCATACACTAATACTACACTCAGTGGTGCCTCTCTTGTTCTCTTATTTATCTTTCCACACAGATCCTGCATACTCCAAGGAACGGCTGCCACAGTGGATGAGGTTACCCCCCGTCCACACATATGGACTTTTGAACTGCATCCTGGGCAAATGCCATCCATTTTAGTGTCCATTCCTTTATGTCCCATCACTTGTAGTTCCACTACTACTAGTTCCACTTGTTGCACCTCTGCCCACCCTGTTTCTTTACAAGAGAACCTGATTAAGAAAAGTGACAGAGTATCTTTAAAAGTAATATACAGTAAGCATTAAAATTAAAGTGTTACTAAAACCATGACCCTGTATTCACTATATCCGGTCTTCCACTGTACACAGAACATGGAAATTTAATTATTTTAGTAAATATAAACTGCTAAATACCTTTTCTCATCAGCAGTATATGGCAGTCTTATGACTTCTATCAGTGTTCGGCTGTGTCCGGCTGACCGCTGTAAGTCTTGTAGGAGCAGTTTTTATTCTCCTCTGACTGTCTTTTGGGCTTTAGGCTTCATGACCCCTGACCCTCTGTCTGGACAGTGCTGATTGGCCCTGTGCCAATCACATGCACCCACACAAAAAAAACACATAAAACAGAGCATGTGCAGACTTGCCAATGCTGCTCTGTACTATGGCAGATGGATTGGGGACAGTAAAAGAAGGGGAGGATCAGAGAAGGCAAGATCAAACAGCTTTTTTTCGTAATGCTGTGGGTTAACCCCTTTGGTTCCACAGTGAGTACAACAAGCATTCTTAACTGCATATACAGACTGGCTTTACTGTTGTGGGTTTAGTAACACTTTAAGCGTTAATGCACTGATGGTTACTTGTTAGAATGCAGTCCAAGATGCTAACATGATAACAGATTAGATAAACATTACAAAATATTCTGATAATATGTAGAAATGTTATAATTGTATTTTTCACCAATACATTTCATTTCTCAAAATTAATATTTGAATTTTAAGTCATAACAAGGGAATCTTTACTGGTAGTTTTATGAGTATTTTATTAAACAAAGCTGAATCTATTTAATGAATATAATAAAGTACTATAATTGTCATTTAGGTCTAAGAAAGAGCATGCTATGACATAGCTCTGTCAAACAGGCACTGAGGTGAAGACCTGGGTTATACTTTGCATTAGAAGAAACAGTGTCAATTGTGGCAAATGTGACACATTTTTTCACCTGACAGTTTGTGGGTGTTCTCACCCTAAATGTTTCAGTTTTCCTGTTCACATTGCCATCCTATATCTGGTCACTTTCTCTGAAAACAATATTTTTTTTCTTTCTCGCTGCAATTGCCAAGAATTACCAGTCAATAACAATGACTAAGCATCAACTTACATAATTTAACCTCTATCTAAAGCTAAATCTTTATGGATTCTGATCAAATTGTAGTTCTCTTCCTAGAATCTAAGCTTGTTTTTATCACACCCCACCCACCTATTTTATTATAGTACAAACAGGTATAACTATGTGCCTATCAACAGGACAAAATAAACTATCTGTTTTTAAAGGATTATGGAAGACATTGGGGTTGATTTACTAAAGGCAAATAGACTGTGCACTGAAAGTGCAGTTGCTCTAGGTCTGAGGGGAACACGCAAGGAAAATGAAAAAAAAAAAAAAAAAACAGCATTTTTGCTTGCACATGATTGGATGAAAGAAATCAGTAGAGTTTCACTCATTTCAGAGCATCCCCTCAGATCTAAACCACTTGTGGTGTACTTGCAGTGCACAGTATATTTACCTTTAGTAAATCAACCCCATTGTGCGCTTGTTTTAATTATCTATCAATTAATATTGCACAACAGATTGCTTAAGAAACTATATAATAGCATGGTAGTAGATCAATAATGGGAGAGAGCCTTTCCATATGCAGAACAGTCACATGAAGGAGCGTAGGGAAACGCACCCTTGTCCAGTATAGATATGCTGCATTTTATCGCAGTCCACTGTACAGGATCGCATGTCGCTGTAGAGTAGTGCAGCGCATCATGCTGCTGTAAAATGACATAAATGCAGTGTCACTTTTGTGCAGATCAAATAAAGTTTATTTGAAATAAAAGGGAGCTGTATGATGCGCTGAATTGCATACCACACCACCCCCCCTACCTACTGGCTCACTGCAGCCAGAATGGACAGCTGCCAGACAGCAAACCGCTGCAGTTTACTGTTTGGCAGCTGTCTATTTATGTGTTAACTGGCCCTACAGAAACCTGGGAAAATGTTTCCAGAACTCCACTGTACCCAGGAGCTGATTATATAATAAGAAATCTTGTCAGTAAAGGGTCACTACTATACAATAACAAAAGAAAAGACAATATGTCTACCTTTCCAGGGCCTCCATGCATTGAAATACCACAGCTTCATTGCTCTCTAGCCACTGTAAGTATTTATTCACTTGGACCAGTAGAAGGAACCAAAGGGGTTAATGCACAATTAAGTGCATTAATGCAATAAGTTCTGATGTGAAAAAAAACTATAAAGTAAAAAACCCACTATGAAGTGTATCCTTTGCACCACTTCCACCAATCCAGTGTTCCCGGCCACCATCACACCAGTCGGTTTACCAGGGAGCGGAACATCGCGGTGACATCATTATGCCGCCTCGTACAGTCGGCAGTGGCTTCTTCTTTGCTGCTGTGACCTTATTCTTTGTTTGTCAGTATTTTAGCCTTATTTTAGCCTGTTTTTTTTTTAAATAAATTCTTCTTCTTCCTTCCTGCATATGAGAACATCAAGTGCACTAAATCCATCTTTGAGCATTTGTGGATAACACAGGGGAGAGAGCCATCCATCTGTGAGCAGTTTATGCTAATCGCTTCTGCTGTTTATGAGAGTAACTATTAGTATGCATGGTCGGCCATGAATGGCACAAACAGAGAGCCATCAATCCATTCATTAGCAGCATAAAGCTTTATTAGACCTCTTATGTTTTGGGGTCTAATTTTTCTGGTAAGTCAACTGCAACACATTCCATTGTTTAGTGTAGATATTGGGTATTCAGATATCAGTGAGTGCTGCTGTTACCTTTCATATGTTAATTTTTTGTTTGATTCACACTAAGTGAAGTTTGTTTGCTATTTTTAATATGTAAAAATTGCAAAGCTCTAAAAGAGTAGTAATAATAAAAAATAATAATAATAAAAATAATCTTAGATTCATTAATGTTGCAAGCTTTTATGCAAGTGCAGTATAAATATAAAACATTTCTTTTTTTTCTATAAGTGTAGCTGAAAAGAAATATTTTTTCAAATATAAGCAAAATCCACAGATGCGGTTTATTGAGTTGTGTGGGAATAAAAAATTTTTTGCCATAGGGAAGACATGAAAATTTCTCTTCAGTACTACAGTAAAATATATGTTCCGTGTAACATTATCTGTTGCATTTTATATAGTGATAAATCAGCACATTACAAAATTTCACACAACAGCAGTCTGTTCCTTCGTTGTATGTACATATCAGTCATTCAGCAATGCAGTACACAGATTTCTAAATGATTCTGTACTGTTGCTATGAATAGAGATGTTCTCCTACAGTTAGAACATTTATGATTTCCAGTGAATGTGTAATAGTGACCCTAAAGCTCACCATATATATGTGGCAATTTGATAAAGCGATGGAATTTATATTTCCATATTTTTGTCAAAATCACAATTGAGGACATACACCAAACAGCCATAACATTAACATACTATAAATAACATTGATTATCTTGTAACAATGGCATCTGAAAGTGGGTGGGATATATTAGGCACCACAGCTGTTCCTACAACTGATGTGTTGAAAACAGAAAAAAATGGACAAGTGTAAGGATTTGAACTTTAACAAGGGCCAAATTGTATTGGCTAGAGGATTGGGACAAAGCAACTCTAAACCTTCAGCTCTTGTGGTATTTTACTGGTTTGCAGTGGTCAGAACCAAAAGTGGTCCAAGGAAGGAAAACCAGCAAACCGGTGACAGGGTCATGGGCTACCAAGGCTCATTGATGCACCCGGGGAGCGAAGGCTGGGCTGTGTAATCTGATTCAATCAAAAAAAGAGCTACTGTAGCTCAAATTGCTGAAAAATTAATGCTGGTTCAGATAGAAAGGATTCAGAACACACAGAGTGTCATAGCTTGTTGCATATGGGGCTGCGCAGCCAGACTGGTAAGTGTGCCCATGCTGACCTGTGTCTACAGCAAAAGCACCTACAAAGCGCACGAGTATCAGAACTGGACCGTGGATGGGAGAAGGTGGCCTGGTCTGATGAATTCAAGAATGGTTTTTGGAACACAACAACAAGTTTAAGGTATTGACTTGGCTTCCAAATTCTCTAGATCTCAATCCAATCAAGCATCTGTGGGATGTGCTGGAAACAAGTTCAATCCACGGAGGCTCCACTTTCTATCTTACAGGACTTAAAAGATCTGCTACTGAAGACTTGGTGCCAGATACCACAGCATACCTTCAGAGGTTTACTGGAGTCAATGCCTTGATGGGTTATTGTGGGCAGTCATAATGTTATGGCTGACTAATGTAAAATGGTGATTTTGATCAATAATCATTTGGAATATGATCAATGATGCAATTCTGGTGGTTGATGAAACTTGTGTATGATAGACTGTTTCATTTCTGGTGATTACTTAAAAATGCCATGTTTAAAGCTAGCTTAACAGTTACAGAATGCTTTGTCTGAGAACTGAGCAGATATAGGCAACTGTCTGCCATGGTCATCTGACCTTCAAGGAATTATGGAAAATGGAAAATAGGACTTAATAATTATAATGTCATTATTTGTCAGGCATCGTATAACTTGTTTCTGCATATACAGTGCTCTTGCACTGTTTAATATTTATTAGCGTGCATTTGGTTTATGTTGGTTGCTATGCATCACTCTCCCAGTGTTAAATTCAGCTGGCTGCAAACATAATTCTTATTATGAAGAGATTGGACATCTAGTATTAGAGTTTAAGGTGACCGTTCACATTCAGTGTTACCACTTTAACCTTCTGCCATCGTGATCAAAGAGTATCTTTACCGCGGGCAGTTAACAAACTGTCTCAAATATCTGTGACTGTAAAGTCACTGGCCATTGCTGAAGTTCCAGATGTCAATAATGGCAAGCAGCAGGCTACACAGGAAGAAGCCCAGGACAAAGTTCACAGTGTTGCAAATGATAAGCACAAAGACGGTCATTTAGAGAAGTGGTGGAGGCTTGTCATCCTCTGCGACTGTGCACACGCTATAAGGCTCCATTCACACTTTGGAGTGCAACTTGATGGGTGCACCACTGTTGCATGTAAAACATTTAGGAATGACTTTGCACCTTTTGAGGGTTAATATTGAAAGTGAATGGCCCTCAAGTTGCATGAAAGTTGGACCAAAGTAGTGCACAAACTACTTTGAAGTCGCTGCGACTATATGTTGTGCATATATAAATGGTTGTCATTAGAAAACATGGGGTACAACTTGTCATGCGACTTTGGACATCAAAGTCACATGACATGTCGTACCCCGTGCTTTGTGTGAATGGGGTGTAAGTTTTACAGAAGGACCTGTTACAGCAGTGATTGCACCATCAACAACTTCACAAGGTAAACCTATATTTTGGCTGAGATGC